GAGGGGCCCAGCATGTCCTCAGCCCTGGGGGCACCTAGGAGGCGCGGGGCCTGGGACTCACGTGCGCCTGGCTATCTTTCAGCATGGAGATGTGTGACCAGACGTACAATATCACCATGTGTCCCCTGTGTGACAAGACCTGCAGCTACTGGAAGATGAGCTCGGCCTGTGCCACCGCCCGAGCCAGCCACCTCTTCGACAACCCGGCCACCGTCTTCTTCTCCATCTTCATGGCCCTCTGGGGTAAGCAGTGCCTCCCCGACGGGGCTGAGCAGAGACGACTCCGGGCTAACCCCTCCTGCCTTTCCTCCTTGATGAGCTGCAGGCAGGGCTCTCCAGAAACAAGTGGAAGGGAGCCTTGGTGGGAACGGCCCCCTGTTTTGTCTGCCAGGTACCAGAGTTTGGATGGTGTTGAAAGGGGTGGCTTTGCTCACTTTCCTGGCATCAGGGTTTGCCAGCTTGGGAGGCACAGCTTGTTTACAGCTGGGTGGGCTAAGGGTCTGGCCATCCTTCCAGGGTGCTGCCGAAGATACCCACCACCCTGAGGGCACGCTGACCTGGGCTGGGCCTCACATCTCGTCCTTACAGCATCCCTGCAGGGTTTGTGTGCCCATTTTACGGATAAGCAAGCTAAGGCCTGGAGCGAGTTAGTGTGAGTTGCTCAGGGTCGTGAGAGGCCAAGGTAAGAACTGCACCTGCGAGTCCAAAGCCCGTGCCCTTAACCCTTAGGCTCCACTGCCTGGCAGAGTGCAAGACAGCACCGCCTCCTCCAGGAAGCCTTCCCTAATGCTACCTTGCACCCGGCTCAGGCTTTGGGCGTTTGTAAGCATGGCTGAATCATTGCGGACATCTTAGGGCTCTGCTGGCAGGGCCTCCAGAGTCTGCCGCAGGCAGCTGTGGGCTGAGCCGTGCCCTGGGCTGCTGCTGAGTGGGCACCAGAGCCCCAGTCCTGCCCCCAAGGGCTCCCACGGGATGGGCGATGGGGCTGGCACAGAGATGCATAGGAGTAAAGTGAGGACTCCTGGAGGGGTCAGGAGGGGCTTCTGGGAGAGGCAGGAGAGGCCTGAGATGCTCTGAAGATGTGGGGGGTGAGCACCTGGGACACAGGGCCCGAGGCCTGGAGCCTCCCGGAATCTCACCTTCTTGGCTCCTGCAGAGCAGCCCCCGGGGCTGGACGCTCGGCCCTGCCCCGTGCAAGAGGCCCACAGAGCGTGACGGTGACCCGAGAGGTCGAGCTTTGCTGATGAGGCCGTGAGCTGCCACTGTCCGCAGCCAGGTGTGCGTACTCTATGTCCCCACCACCCCACCTGCCCAGCGGCCTAGGTCCCTGAGGGTCAGACACGGAGTTTGGTACAAGCCCTCAGCTGCTGGGCGGAGTGGGTTTCTAAAGTCGAGCCGGGACCCTCCGTGCCTCTAAAACCAGTCAGCCACCCAGCTGCCATAGAGTCGACTCCGACTCAGGGTGCCCCGCCGTGTGTCAGAATGAACCAGCGCTCTGTCGCGCCACCCCCCGCCGTGTGTCAGAGTGAACTAGTGCTCCGTGATGGCCCCCCTGTTTCCTAGTGGCCCTGTGCTCCGTGACGTACCCCCCACCGTGTGTCCGAGTGGCCCTGCGCTCCGTG